GATTGGAAATAATGAGGCCAATAAGAGATATTGCTCTGGAAGTTGGTGGGGGCACTGCGATCCAAAAACAAAGATAACAATGCATGCAACTCCTTCCTTTATTTTCCTACATATTCTCTTGTACTCCCTCCGTCCGAAAATACTTGTCATCAAAATGAATAGAAGGAGATGTATCTAGATGTATTTTAGTTTTAGATACATCCATTTTTGTCCATTTTGATGATAAGTATTTTCGGACGGAGGGAGTACTTGACAACTTAAGACTTTCCGCGAGTAGTATATGGACTAACGAGACTAGTAATGCGACGCAATGCACACGAGACTAGTTCTAAAAGTAATTTGTGTTTGTCCTCGTCCATGCCCGTACATTAAGCAGGCCCATGAAATGCATCCCTTATTTTCCATAGCTTCCTTCCTCAACTATACGCTCAGACAGTTTCAATAGATCGAGTTGCTCTCTTTCTCCCATACACACATAAATAGATCCTCTAAGTTTTGCATGGATAAAACTTGGATGATCTATTTTTTTAGGAAGGAGAAAGTACTATATTTCAAACAGAATCTAGAAAAAAAACTATATTTCAAATATGGTTTAATCTCAGTCACCTTTTAAATCCTTTTGATCAACGTCCAACACCATCATACCTATCTTACTCCGTACATGACCTAGAAATAGACTAAGTTGTAGTTACGTGTTGATAAAATTACGCTCTGTCAATGCTGCAATTTTATTTCAAATGATATGCTGTATTGGGTGCAAAAATCTCAAACAACTGAGGATTACAAAATTTGTTATTATAAATTATTATGTGGATATAAAAGAGAAGAAATCATCGAAATGCATGTTAGTAGGCAGTGCAAACAATGCAAATATTTGATGATCTAGTGAGTGACGATTCTTTTATTTTGGGTTTGGCCAGGGGCAGCTTGCAGGCTGTTGAAGGGCTCTGGAACGAATGGGAGATCCATTGCCTCATACTTTCAAGCTTTGGTCTACAAGTATTCCTCTTCTTCACAGCAGGCATGCGGAGGCATAGCGTGTCCAGCATCCTCAACTCCCTTATATGGTTGGCCTACTTATCGGCCGACGTTGTGGCCATTTTTGTTCTCGGGCATCTCGCGGTCCATGCAAGCGGCTCACACCATCTTCTTATCTTTTGGGCACCGTTCCTGCTCCTCCATCTGGGAGGGCAGGATACAATCACTGCCTTCTCCATGCAGGACAACGAGCTCTGGCAGCGCCACCTGCTAGGATTGGTCACCCAAGTATCGGTGGCCATCTATGTCATCTCCATATCCTCTTGGCAAGGCAGCCGACTCCTAGCTGCCACGGTCCTCATGTTCTTGTCTGGGTTCTTCAAGTACATTGGGCGTACTTTTTGCCTTTACACATCTAGACCACAGTTCCTCAGGCATACTACCGTGCTTAGTTTGGATAGATATGTACACGGTGTATACCAGGAGGTACCTTTGGAGGATATACTAAGGCAAAGAGTACAAGATATGGTGGCTTACGCCGATGATGGGAAGCTACCGTCCAATGTCAGTTTCTCACATATACTGTTGGATATTCCACTCAACGATAGGGCTACTATTGAAGGTGCGACTGTCATACCATACTTTCTCAATGTGCAAAACCATCTTGCATACCGCAACGGGGCCTACATATATGTCAGCGCATTGCTTGTTCGTTGTTATGAACGCATCTACACCAAGGCTATGCTTCATTTTGCTTGGCTTTACAATTTCAAAGCAATAATGTCTGAAGATTCTGAGGACAAAACAATACGCATAGTATTTCTTCACATTTTATCATTTCTCTTGCTCTTCCCACTTATTTCGGCCTTGATAACATTGGAGCTCTTCCTGGTCGCTGAAAAGGACCAACTCTACAATCGTACTGATATCACAATCTCCTACATATTACTCATAGGGGCCATAATCCTCGAGGTGGCATCTCTCTTCATGGCCATTCTTTCCTACTATGCATCAAGTAAAGCACCACCATCTTGTCCACTTACGCCTGTAGCCTTGCACGTAGCCAACTATATTCACCCCGCGGGCCGACATAGAAAACACTGGTCCAAAATGCTTGCACAGTATAACATATTCGAATGTAACACCAGAGAAGACTCCACAGTCAGCATGGCAGTTGCACAGTGGATTGGCAGGACATTTTCAAGGATCGCCATCAGTCCAGATGTCGAGGAGTTTGTCCTTGACAAAATATTAGACATGGGAACATGGGAACTGGATAGCTTCCGTGGACAGCAAGCGCTTGAGAGGTGGACCGTTATGCGCACGATCATTGACAGTGTTGACCTGCCAACAAGTGTGCTGATTTGGCACATTGCAACAGAGATATGCGACTTGGGAGAAGAAAGCAACACTAATTCTTATCAAACTAAGATGATAAGGGTGAGTAGAGAGCTATCAAACTATAACATGTACCTTGTCTTCAGATGTGGTGTGATGCTTACATGCAGCTCCAAGCTTGTACATATCAACACTCATAGGGAAATCAAGAAAAGTCTTGGAGGGAATGTTAATCTAGCTAGAAGAGAAGCTATTAGGATGGTGCTTCAGGCTAACAGAGAAGGGCAGCAACCATACGATACGGACAATATTGGCGGCGGCAACAGAAGCAAACCAGTAACTCCAGTCCAGCTTCTGAAAAATAATATAGATGCTCTTGATTATTCTCCGGTGTTGCCTCGTGCACGTACAGTGGCTGATGAGTTGAATGCCATGCCTGGAGACGACCGTTGGGACCTCATTGCGGAGGTATCGCTGGAGATGCTTTTCTACATCGCGCCTCGCTGCGGGTCGGCTTTCCATGCCGAGCATCTCAGTACAGGCGGGGAATTTGTGTTGCATGTCCTCATGATCATGCGTTCATTAGGCCCTTTTCTACCACCGCCAGATTATTAGCTGATGGATAATCCTGCTGCACCGTAGTATTAAGTTTTTCAGTTTCTTCGATCGGTTACCTGAATTAAGAGGTCATGTAGCGTGCACCTGTACACGTCTTGACCAATACGCCTGGTTAGTTTTTGTTAGCTGAATTTGCTCGCATGACCAGTTCATGGGATGACGTGAACGTCAGCGAAAATGTGAGCTCACCGGGCGTGATACATCTTTGATTGTAATTCGCAGTTCAGTTTTGACTGCTTAATAAATAACATAAAGATAGAAAAGCTGTAAGAGTGCACATCGCAAAACTTGTTTGTTCATCGTCTTCCATCGCTAGCACACTCTCTCGTCTGTTCTCTCGAGCTTGCTAGCTGAGTTGAGGCAACAACAAGTGGCATCAGAGCCTTGGTGGTGTTCGAAGACAACGAGGGAATTGGACGAGCAGAAGGCGTCGGCAGAGACGGTAGCGCTGGAGAAAACCCTGGCACGCCTCTCCATAGAAGGAGGGTCGGGGGTGCGCATCGTCGAGCGCATCGTGTATAGCGGCAGCGATAGCAATGCCCCCGATGATGCTGACAAGAACAAACTACACCAACTGGGCCCTCGTGACTAAGCTGCAGCTGCAGGCGATGAGGTTTGGTGCATGATGGACAGCGGCGAAGGGAGGGATCATGAAGACCAACGTGTTTAGTTAGAGATAAGGAGAGATGAAGATAGAATTAGTTTTAATATACTAAGACTTGTCTTGTATTCCAAGTCTCACCACACGTTGTATTCTATATATACCCCAGACGAGGGTCAGATCAATACAACAACGAAGAGCATAGGTTTTATATTTTCTACACAGCGCGCCATGGTCGCACTGCTTAGGGGTGGGCCACCGAAGTTGACGCGGATGCTGGGCACTAAGGCCATGGCAAAGCAGGCGAGGGACACCTTGAAGACCAGGCGTGTCGGGGTGGAATGCATGCGCGAGGCCAAGGCCCAGACTTGGCGCTGCGAGTATGAGGGATTGCGGTCCAAGGACGGCAAATGAATCGAATCGTACGTCATGCGGCTCAGGGCCATCATCGACGAGCTCGAGATCCTCGGCAATCTGGTGGGCGAGCACAAGGCCATCCTCAAGGTTCCGCGGACGGTGCCACAGCCATACCGCGACATGGGGGTGGCGATCGAGTCGCTGGTCGATACCAAACAGCTCTCCTTGGAGGATCTCCGTGGGCACCTCTTTGTCATTGAAGAGCGCGAGCACGAGGAAGCACCCGCGTCAAGAGGGCTCCTGCTCCTGCTCGTTACTGAAGAGGAGCGGATAGCACGTACTCCCTCTGTTCACTTTTATAAGACGTTTTAGACAGCTGAGATTGAACTGTTTTGGGTGTTGTCTTAAATGTCTAAACGGTCTTATAAAAGTGAACAGAGGGAGTAACAGTCAGCGCAACCACGATGGCAACTCGTTTGGTGGCGGAGAGCGGCGTGGGCATGGCAACGGAAAGCCAAAGGGCTTCCAAGGCGGCGGGCGTCACGGCCAAGGCGCTTGCCACTACCACGGGATCACAGGGCACTGGGCCAAGGAGTGCCGCAAGAAGATCCGCGACCGTGAGTAGCAGGAGCAACAAAGCACACATTGCCCAGCCCAGGTCGACGTCGAGCACAGACCCAGTGCCACACGGGCACACAGGTTCAGACAAACGATGAACAGCACACTCAGCATTCACATGGGACGCACCCAGTGTTAGGAATAAGCCATGCCACGGGCTAGCTTGTTAGTTAGTGGGCGAGAGTTCAGGGCGGTAGTGTGTGCGTGGGTGTGCGTCGTAGCTAGCTTTGGGTGTGATGCGTGCATGCATGGATTAGTGGCCGGTGTCACAGATATAACGAGGTGTTATACAAATGGTTTTTAATCCTTTTTCACGATAGCATTTTAAATCGTCGCCAAATGAGAGTGTGCGATAGGTGGGTCCTTCCCACACGACCCAGCAACCATCGGGGACAGGGGGATATGATGCATACAATTGTCCTATAAAACTGTTTATGATATCTTGAATATCCCAAACATTCCATCCTTGCGACTCGTGTGTGCTGCCATTACTATTGCTGTCAGTATTTTGTGATGCTACATTTACGATGCGCAGCCCATCACAAACAGTTCATGATTATAGAACATGTATGATAAGCAAATAATCATACACATTTAGTTTTTCCGAACCGTATGCGATAACTAATTAAGAAGATTATCTTATCATCATATGGATACGAAACGTCGGATCGTCGTACGAGGGTCGTACAGGATAACTATCACACACACTATTATGTGATGCAACGTTTACGATGCCTACGACATCCGAAACAGTTCATTATTGTAAACCATGTACGATAATACGACTATCACAAACAATTAGTTTGCTTGCACCTTTTGCGATATTGTCTGACACCACACACGCTTCGCAAATGGCAACTGTGTGCATGGTCGCACACGTTTCCTCTCTGCAAACCGTGTCGAATTATGATGTATATCACACATGTTTGTACTTTATAGACTAGGTGCACGGTAACAACCAACACGGCATATTTCGACCCTAATTGAATCGCTACTATTTAAAATTGTATTAAATTTGAATTTGAAAGTCGTTGGCTATAGCTTTATTCATATTCATCAGGTTCAAACAACCAATGCAGTATTTGATTCATAGGTACATATGTTCAAGAGTTACATAAGCTCCAAATAAAAAATGATGAACCATAGTTGTATACTTGTACTATTAAAGACGGTAAAGAAAGAGGCGAAAGACATTCTGGTTGCCGAACAAGCTGAAGCGGAATGCTCATATTGTGCCCTCCTCCATGCAAAAGGCACGCACGACTCAACCCCTTGCGATGGCCGACCGCCCATCCTTCACTGTCTTCATGAACACATCTAGATAGTCATGGTGTTCTGGTAGAAATACTTTAACCTTTGCATGCCCACCAATCATGTAGTTTGAGAGGCAATCTTGAGTAACTGCTTTGGGAACCACTGCAAAGGAAAAAAGATCCAGACATTGTCATCTAACAGAACTCATTATGGAGAGTAAAAAGAAGGCTGCAAAGTTCTTACTTACCATGTTGCAGTTCACTGTTATCTTGGATAAAGTGTAAACAAATAGTTTAATTGCCATCTTTTGACCCATTTTAGTAACAATCTTTATCAGTTTCCTCACCTGATGCTGGTTCATCAATACCAGTAGTGACCTCAATGTCACGAAGTTTGGCCGCCCGCATAGCGCACCGCTGCTGTATGTCATCAACCTCTGACTTATCCTGGAGGCGGCAGCTCATCCGTCGCCCCTCGTAAACAGGATCCGAAATCCCTCCAAAAGCGATGATCTCCTCCCGAGAAGCCCTGTTTGGGGTGCGGCCTCCAGCCCCACCCCCAACAGATAGCGGAGTAGCACCACGCGTCGGTGAGGACCCCCTCGACCCCGTTGATGTCAGCCAACCCCCTCGACCCTGTCGATGTCAGCCGACATCCGGCGTCCAGGGCCGCGACAGATGGTGCCCCCACCAAAGGCGCGCTGGGTGGGGTGAGTACTTGGGCCGCCTGCCCACACTCCCTACCAGGCTCGGCCCTCTGGCAGAAGGGCGACGCGGGCCTCAAGTCCGACGTCGCCGGGAGTGGCACCTGCCTCTCAATGCACGTCGGCGCGCTTCCGGGACCCACAGAAGCCAAAGGCGCGGCCACTCTGGCCACCACCGGAGAGGAAGGAGCCGAGGCCACGTGCCCGGGACCCCCTCCCATCGCTGCAGTCGAGATCATCCGAGGAGAAACAACAGTCCGAGTGGGAGAACAAGGGGCCACCCGCCCAGGATCCTCCTCCCCCCCCCCTCGACCAAAGACGTCTCAGTGCCAATCGCATCGAAGCCCCCATGCACGGACCCGTCCGCAACAGCAAAATCTAGTGCAGGCAGTGTGCGCTCAAGCACATCACCAGACTCCACCCGGTCGCTCCAAAGTCTGGGAGGGGCAGAAGCAGGCTCAAACGACCCAAATCTAAGGGTGTTCATCGGCACCGAAGAAGATGGTGCCGCCCCGTCCCCGGACTTCTTTGAGGCGGACTCCGAGCCGTTGGACAACTGTCGCCCAACATCGTCCACTCGCGCCTTCTTAGAGCCAGAACCCTCCTCCTTATCCTGCATATCCACATCAGTCCCAGCCATAGCCTCAGCAAATAGCTCGGTATCCTCAAACTCAATCTCAAGGTCGAAAATTTGGCCCCGATATGTCCACTTAACCACATCTGGCACGAAGTCAATATCCAAAACACTCACCAACAGTCGGGCCACCCCGTGAGCTCGGGTAAAAGCCATATCCACTCTCTCAGTTTTCTCGACCAATATGCCCAAGCTAGCAACGACCCGAGCATTCTGCAACGGCTGAGTAAGAGGCTTGCCCTGTGGCTCAACCCTTTTTCACTCATGAAACTCAAGGATGCACTCAGTCCCAGGCACTCTACACAGCCCAAAACTCAAAAGTCGCTGCAAGTCCTCAACAGAAGGGAAATCAACCTTATACATGTTAGCCTCGGACTGATAAGCTCCCACTGAAAATCTCCAGGAGCTAACTCCTTAAGCCTCTGCACAGTCTGAGCCTCCGACACCTCACCTTTGGTGACTTTGACAACCCCAGTGGTCAGGCTCGGTGTCTCCTCTGGGATCTCTCTCGCACTCGGAGACTCAAAGAACATCAACTCAGCACAATACGCCCCATAGATAGTAATACTCGGCATCTGGTCACGCAGAATCGGGCACTTCCCTGTATCATGCGCTGGCTTGAGGCATATATCACATAACTCGGTCACACATTCAGCAATAAAGTGGCCCTTCTCACCACAGCGTTTACACAGCATCTTCTCCTTCTTACGAGCC